AGCGCAGATCCGTGGATCCACTGCTGCTAGGAGCTCCGGCTGCGCCGTCTTCAGCGCCGGCGACGTCTAGGTAAGAAACCCTAACCCTAGCTCCGAAGCCTAACCCTAACCCTAGCTCAGATCTGCTCCGTTCTTGATTTCTTTTCTTAAATCTTGAGTTCTTGACTGATGTTCTTCCTTTCTTCTTCTTTTGGCAGACGTTTGAGGCCAGGGCAAGTGAGGATGCCGTCCCGGCCTCCCTCTGTCTCTGAGGACACGGTGGAGGCTAGTGCCACTGCCATGGCTGATGAGATGGAGAGGGTCCGCGACCTCCCTGGTGATGACGACGACGACGACATGGGCGACGAAGAGGTAGAAGAGCTCTTCGGCCGTGGAGTCAGACCGTGGAGTCGTAGCGAGAGGACCCCATATTCCTATTTTCTTAACTCTTGTGTATTTGCTCTGTTTTTGTTTCTCCGGTTCTTTTTCTGATAATTTTGATTCCAAATTATGCTTGTTACATCAATCTTGAACTGATGAAGTGCTACTTAAAATGTGTTTAGTGCCTGGGCCGGCACGGGCACTGGCGTGCCACCGTGCCTGCTGGCACGGCACGGCACGGCTTGCACTTCATAGTGCCGTGCCTGGGTTGCCACTTCGGCACGGTGGCACTATCAGGCACGGCACGGTGGGCCGCCGTGCCGCATAGTGCCGTGCCTCGCCGTGCCGTGCCGTGCCTGGCCGTGCCCGTGCCCGTGCCCGTGCCCGTGCCGTGCCGGGCGGCCCATTTGGAAAACTATACCCGCCTTTGTCAGGGACTGGCAGCCCAGGGGAGCTGACAGTCGACCGCGACGGCTCGAGGACGAAATGCTGTTTGGCGCCATTTAGGAGACACCGAGCCAGCGCAAGTGCTAGTCCCAGAACATGAGCCGGGTTCGCGTTCACGGCGCGGTCCCGGGCAGGCATAACAGCATCAGGTGCCGTTGGAGGGAAACGTCGGTTTGTCGGGTGTTGGGGAGGCTGGCGCTGCTGTTCCCGCCAGAAGGGAGCAGGGGGCCCTGCTGGGGTCCTGGTGGAGGCGGAGCGGGACCGTGCCTGAAGAACGGGGTCAGGTTGCCGTCATCGTCGAGCTGGTCCGAGCGATCCCACACTCGGATGGGCATGACTCGCGCGACCCCACCAAAGCGACCACAGCCAAAGCGAGCAGAGACGTGGACCTCGTAAGGTATCTCCAGCCGCTCATTGACTTCCAGTAGGAGGCGCAGAGGGCCGAAATTGCTTTCAGTGAGACAGTCTGGGTCAATCTCAGCGACGTCGCAGAAGCCGGCAAAAGCTTTCTTGATCTTGTCCTCTTGCCAGTGCTCGTTTGGAAAGTCGAGCACATGCACGTAGGCTAGCCAGGGAGGAATGCGGTAGAAGCGGTTGGAGCATTCGTCCGGGCGTTGGAGGGAGAGTTGAACACCCTCATGGTAGATAGGGCTGTGGTACCGTAGAGTGTCCCTGGCCGCGAGATCTTGGCAGCGAAAAAGCATGGCTCCCCGAGTGGTAGGGAGGAACTCCACCGGCATGAGAGGTTCCACCGTCGCTAGAGCCGCCCGGAGGAAACCGGGGACCTCAGCAACAGGGATCGGAGGGTCAATGTAGGCGAAAAGAAGGCGTTCCAGCACCTCGTACCTCCCAGGAGAGAGCCATGCATTCACAGAGTGAGCACGTCCTTCCCAGGAGAACTCAGAGCTAGAGGAGCCGTCGAAGGCGTCGCTCTCCACCTCCTCCTCGCTGTCGTAGAAGGCATGAACACCCACATTGGCCAAGCCAGGGGGCGCCGGTGGCAGAGCTGGGAGGTGAACGCCCCCCAGCCCAGCCGTGGCGCGCGGGCTAACCGGACCGAGCGGCGGCGAGGTCGCTCCAGCTGGAGCGCGCGGGGGAGATGGAGTCGGCGGAGGAGACCGGCTTGGCGGCGTACTGAACTCAGGAGAAGTCGGCCCGTTGCGCACTTCCTTGCCCTGTCCCCCAAAAGGGTACTTGTCCTGGGGACGTGAGCTCGGGGCCGAACGCAGTTTCCGCGGTGCAGGGCTGGAGACGTTGAGCTCAAAGTCCGGAGCCTCTGAACTGGAGGAAGGGACCATGAAGCGGACATCGTATGCCGGCAGAGGCAGCTGCAGAGAACGAAGCATCTCCGGCGAGTTTGGAGGTGGAGAGGTGGGCTTCGGTGCGGGTGCGCCGGCTGGGCACGGCTCGAAAGGCACTGCGTGGACAGTGCGGCGAGAGGCTGGCACCGGGACGGTCGGCGACCGACGCCCGCCCAACGAGAGAAGGAAGGTGAGCTTCATTGGGCAGTCCGGTTGGCGGTGCCCGGAACGATGGCAGCGCCGGCAGCGGATCGGATCACGACAATCCTTGACGTGGTGGTCCGGTGAGAGGCACCTAAAGCACAGTTCCGTGCCGAGGATGGGTTTGAGGGGTTTGGGCGTTTTGGAGGCCGGGCGGCCAGGCGTTAAGGCCACCTGTAGATAGGTGGGCTTGGGTCGTGGGAGTAAAGCCACATTTACGTTCCCCTCGTTTGCCGCGGTCGGCGCGTGGGTGACAAGACCAGGCGTGGCCCTCTGAGCGAGAGGCGCATTCAAGAGGCGTAAGGGCACAGAGCCCAGCCGAATCCGGGCACCAGATTGCCTCGCAGAGGCAGAGGCATGGGCGGCATCGCTGACCACAGTCATCGAAGCATTGGCCACAGACTTTGCAGGTTCAGGCGGCTTGGGCTGGTGGCCAGTCGCGTCAGCATTAAAACCATCTTCAACCTCGCGATCAGAGGGCAAGCGTTCAAACGCAGCAATGGCGGCGGCCAAAGAACCATGAAGGAAAAGGTAGGTTGAGCCCAAATGGATTGCACCCACCACAGCGAGGATGTTAGCCACGTTCTGGCTAGCAACAGAGAACCGAAAAACACCCCGACGAACACGCACGGCACTAGAGCGACCCGGTTTAATAGCAAGAGTACGTCGCAAAGCATTCTGCATGAAGTGGGAGTTGAATCTCGGTTCACGGGATGGGGGCGTCAGCCATACCAGCGCAGGAGACGGAGAGGGACCAATGACATTTGGCGCAATGGCGGTGTAGGTTTCGTAGAGAATCTTGTACTGGAGAATGTCTCCCAGCGTGGGCGTCGGCGAGGGCCTTCGACGCTGCGGGGCAGTAGCAGCAGCCTCGAGACGAGGCCCGAGGGGCGACGAAGGCAGGTCCACAGGCGAATCCAGGGGCGGCGGAGGAGGTAGAGGTGGAGGCGGTGGAGGGGGTGGTGGTAGAGGGGGAACTGGCGGTGGTGGTGGAGGGGAGGGGAGGGGTGGCGGGGGGGGAGGAGGTGGCGGGGGCGGAGGTGGCTGGGGCGGTGGTGGAACAGAGGGCGGCTGCGGGGTCGCTGGCGGCGGCATTGAGGGAGCGCCATCGCCAGGGAGCGGCCATTAAGTCATTAAGCCAAGCATCGGACATCTTGTTGCGCAATACTGTTTTGATATTCTTCATAGCCGAAAAGACCCGTTCAACACATGCCCTCGCTACCGGTAGTATCAATGTCAACTCAATTAGACGATAAACCTATCTCAGTAAGCCGAGCAAGATTTTCCACATCAAATTTAGGGAATGAATCTCTCAGGTCAAGACAAGAAAAGCAAACAAGCAATTTTGAAGATACCTCGTTAAACCGATGATAAACTCTGTGGTAATAGCATCTATAGCAACATAGAAAGTATCAACACGAAAATAATGGTCTTGAGTGATGTTCTTGCCCCCTTTTCTTGATCTGCCAAATCTTGATACTGCTTCATTCATATTTGGTATTGGAATATCATTTTCACTGCAAAACTTTGTGGCTTCCTGTATAGTGGCTCCCAACCATCATTCCTCAAATTCAACAAACATGTTTTCACATCAATAACCATAGACATGGCTTGAACAACATTTTGATCCTTCCTTGACAATCTCTAAACTCCTCAAGTCTTCTCACATGAATAATAAATAACTCAAGTTGATCTTTTATACCCTCTTCTCGGAATAGGAGAAATCATCAGCATATATCTCAGTAAGCCGAGCAAGATTTTCCACATCAAATTTAGGGAATGAATCTCTCAGGTCAAGACAAGAAAAGCAAACAAGCAATTTTGAAGATACCTCGTTAAACCGATGATAAACTCTGTGGTAATAGCATCTATAGCAACATAGAAAGTATCAACACGAAAATAATGGTCTTGAGTGATGTTCTTGCCCCCTTTTCTTGATCTGCCAAATCTTGATACTGCTTCATTCATATTTGGTATTGGAATATCATTTTCACTGCAAAACTTTGTGGCTTCCTGTATAGTGGCTCCCAACCATCATTCCTCAAATTCAACAAACATGTTTTCACATCAATAACCATAGACATGGCTTGAACAACATTTTGATCCTTCCTTTGCATGATAAGAGAGAGAGAGAGAGAGAGAGCTCACAACTCCTGATGCAAACAGATCATATCGGATCACAACTCCCAAGCCAAATGCCAAAGTTTGTTCACTTAACCTCACGTGGCTTGTTTGCTCGAACGGTGAAAATCCGTGCGTTTCATCCCTTCTTTTCATATCTTCCAATAGACTAGAAGAACTAGTGGTCGCACTACCTCGGCCGAGCGCTCATGCCTATCACGTGCCACCGCTACGAAACTGAGGACATATCGGTGTAGTTCATTCTCGTAGTGCCTGTGTCTTGCACAATGAGAAGAATCATCGATACCACACAATGTTTGACGGCGTTTTTTCAATTTTCATGGTGAAGCACCTGTGGATCCAATTTTAATAAAAAAACAAACATGCCCATCATGCTACTTCTTCAAGCTTGGAAAGTTATCTTTTGTGTAAAACCATATACGAGGCACCCAAATCCAAGTCAAGAGGGAACTTGAATCTGGGTGATTGGATGTACGATCATGCTAGTTGAGCTAGCCTCACTTCCTATATGAAGAGGTGGACAATAGATTAATTTGTTGTCCTACAAAAATGAAGCCAGACTTTAGTGTGCAGCAGGGCGAACACTTGAGAGAGATAATTATTGCCTTTGTCTTATTCAGGTTTGGAAGTTGCCTTGCTTAACCTTGTCTAGTATGTGTAGACCCTATAAATATTATTGAAATTCCTTTACTAATGCATGCTTAGCAGATTCTCTGCCGTCTATTTGTTTGGAAGGGCAAAAAAAAAAAAAACTGAAATCACGAGGCGTCTGCCCAAGCCCAACCTCTCGCCGGTGCCGCACATCAGGCGTCGGAAAACTTGGGCTGTCTGTACCTTATGGGCCAGGCCGTGGCTCAGGACACAGCGTGGACGGCCAATGAACCAACCCCTTGTTCGCTTGGGTCTTGTTTGGCTAATAAACCATGACTGAAAGTACTGTTAGCTGATTTGGTGTGAGAGAAAAATAATGTTCGTTGACTGAAAAAGTACGGCTTATAAGCCAAACAAGCATAAACAAATAGGGTGCAGGCTCTTCGTATCGTGTGAAACAACATCATGGCCTGATTTCAGATCCTCCGCTTCCTCTCTAAAAAAATGGGAGTCTATTTCTCTTAAATTTGGTCCATGTCTGGATAATTCCTAAACTAAAGTATGATTTGATTTACTCTTACTATTTCAATCGGTCCAATTACTTAGCAAAATTAGTTTTTTTATGTATGCATTGAGTTTTAATTTCAAAAATTATGAGGTGATAGAAGACATCATATTTTAAGTTAAAAGTCATCATCGTTATGTTTCATATAATTTATAAATCTAATTTTATTTTATTACTAGATCGCCTAACCTATCAAAAAAAAACTTTACGATGTATTTTTTTACATAAATTATGATGTCTATGAACTAAAGCTCAACTTGTGCACATGGTAACAAAAATAACAAATCTTGGTAAAGGGTAAATCGAAACAATTTAAATAGTTAAAGCGAGTATATCAAACCACACATGACCATAGGGGTTATCAAGACATACGCTCTTCATTCCAAAATAAGTGCACATCTCGTAGTTTGAGAAGTCAACGAGTTCTAAGTTTGACCAAGTATATATAAAAAAATATTAATATTTATAATAACAAATAAACATCATTAGATAAATTACATCATATATTTTTGTAGTAAACCTATTTCAAGATATAAATATTAATAGTATTTTTTTTAAAAAATCTAGTCATATTTGAGAATGTTTGACTCCTCAAAATACGAGATGTTACTTATTTTGGGACGGAGGAACTATAAGTAATTTGGACTTTTCCTGAAAAGGAAAAAAGATTCAAAGCCTTTATACCTGTTAGAGTGTGGGTGCGGGTGCCAAATCATACATATGTAATCGACCGATCCACTGGAGTGGCGCCGAGCACGTACTACTACTACTACTATATATCCAGCTAACAAAAATGAGGAATTTGCTTCATTGTATTGACCACTCAGTTTCCAGTTGCCTGTGTACAGAACTTCGCTGTTCGCTTGAACGGCTTATCAGTTATGGTACAGTGTTTTTTCTCTTGCAACAAATCAGCATCAGCTGGTTTATCATCCGTAGGAACCATTAGCCGAAAAGCTTTGATCGCCTATTGGTTCATTAGCTTGTGTTCTTTGGTTCTTTTGCAGCCACACGATAATTCTCTTCCGGACAACCTGCAAAAAGCTCAGTGAGCCACAACATACACTTGTCTGTCTGATTAACAAATACTACTACAAGTAAATAATGCAGCACTACCAAACCACCCACGTGTCCCTAGCCACAACAAATACATAGAACATGCGTAGCAGTTGTGGAAAACTTTTTCCTAAATGACAACTTGGTTTAGACGACAGATCAACCAGCGACAGCGAGAGCGTTTTGGTTTTTTTTAAATGGCGTGTGCTCCTGCTGCGTAGCTATATGCTGTCTGCCGATCGAGACGAGCTGGCAGGCACGCGATCGATGGCCGGTGTCCACGAAGAGCGCACCGGCGGCAGCGGCGCCTCCAACGGCAGGAGATCATCACGGCGGCGTCCGCGGCGCGTCCTGATGTTCCCGCTGCCGTTCCAGGGCCACATCAACCCGATGCTGCAGCTGGGCAACGTGCTCCACGCGCGGGGCTCGCGGTGACCGTGCTCCACACGCGCCTCAACGCGCTGGACCCCGCGCGCCGCCACCCGGAGTTCCAGTTCGTGCCGGTCCTCGACGGCGTCCCGGCGCACGTCGCGGCGTCCGGGAACGTCATCGACATCATCGAGGCCATGAACGCCGCCATGGAGGCGGACGGGGCGGCGGCCCTCAGGGCCGTCCTCGAGTCGGTGGTCGCGGATGAGGCGCGGCCCCTGCCGCGTGCATTGTCTTCGACGCCAACCTCCTCGCCGTGCCCAGGGCTGCTGAGGCCGTCGGGCTCAGGACGCTGGTGCTGCGCACCGCCAGCGCGGCCTGCCTCGGATGCTTCTTGGCGTACCCCATGCTTCACCAAAAGGGCTATCTTCCTCCTCAAGGTCAGTTGACTCTCCATCGGAGCATACATGATAGCAGAACTCTCGGAGATCTCCTTTTCTCAACTGATCAGTATGAACAGTTTGTACTGAAGAAGTAGTTTGATCTATGCTCTGTTTTAGAGTCCAAACTCTACATGCCGGTGAAAGAGCTGCCGCCACTGAGGGTAAGGGACCTCTTCTATTCAAGCTGGAGCAACCACAAGAAAATGCGCGAGTTACTCGCTCGGGCCAACGAAGCAATGAAGAACTCCTCCGGTCTAGTGATCAACACACTCGATGCTCTAGAGAAAGCAGAGCTGAAGAGGCTCTGCGAAGAGCTCCACATCCCTGTGGTACTTGCTCCTGGCCCTCTCCACAAGCTCTCCTCTAAGCGCACAAGGAGCAGCACGCCGGACCAAGACTACAGCTGCATCGAGTGGCTGGACAAGCAGCCATCGGAGTCCGTGCTGTACGTGAGCTTCGGAAGCTTGGCTTCCCTGGACGCCAAAGAGTTCTTGGAGGTGGCCTGGGGCTTGGCCAACAGTGGCCACCCTTTTCTATGGGTGGTTCGTGCAGACTCGGTACGGGGCTTCTTGGATGGTCCGGATATTCCGAATGGCTTCGAGGCTGCGGTTCATGGCAGGGGCAAGGTGATCCGGTGGGCGCCGCAGCAGGAGGTACTGGCGCACCCTGCGGTCGGTGGATTTTGGACCCACAGCGGATGGAACTCCACGCTGGAGAGCATCAGTGAGGGGGTTCCGATGATTTGCAGGCCTCAGTTCGCGGATCAGATGATGAACACGAGGTACGTGGTGAACACATGGGGTGTAGGGTTGGAGCTGGAAGGCGAGCTTGAAAGAGGCAAAATAGAGAAGGCCGTTAGGAAGCTCATGAAGGATAGGGAGGGAGAGGAGATGAGGGAAAGAGCTAAGGAGCTCAAGAAGAATGTAGCAGATTGCTTAAAAGCTGGTGGGACTTCTCAGGTCGCCATTGATAAGTTGGTGGATTACATACTTTCAATGTGATCTTTGTGTGCTGCCTATACTTTTTTTTTGGCAGCTGTGGAATCTAAACTGTATTTTGTTCAGGCATTCTAGTATTGAGGTGGTTTATATACAAACAAAGAGTACGATTCGAATCAAGTATATCATCTTGTATGAAAGCCAGTATACAAGAAAAAAAATATCAGTTAGCTTGGGCTTTCTGCACCTTTCCACTAAAAAAGAAGAGTTACTTAGATTTCAAATTATTTTTAATAACTCTGTCCTTTCATTTATCTTGTATCCAAGCATAGTTCAGTTTGCAATCTCTATCAAATCTTACTATTACTAATTAGAGGCCTCAACGGAGACACCATGTTAATTCTCATTAGACGCGCTAAGAAAAAAGATAAATTCTAGAAATTCTCACAATAATCAGAAACATCTAGACTATAATTTGATATACTCTAATCACCATCACCGATAATATCCATTGGATCTATTGTAATTTATAAAGAAAATTACCCACCTCTGCAATTATAAAAAATACATAAAGTAACCCCCTAATTTTACATATAAATTACCCATCTCTACCATTATATATAAATTACCCACCTCTTTCATTTGATAGACTCACAATAATCCCCTAAATTTATATATAAATTACCCATATCTGTTATTATGAAACATAATTCAAAATAGCCCCATCACATTGCATCTAAATTACCCGCCATTGCTATTATGAAAGATAATTTAAAATAATCCTCTAACTTTGTATCTAGATTACCCACCTCTGTCATTATGAGACATAATTTTAAATATAACCCACTAATTTTGTATCTAGATTACTCACATGTGTCATTATGAAAGATAGTTTAAAATACATAATAATGATTTTGTAAATTATCCACCTTTGTAATTATGAAAGATCATGAAAAATAACCTCCTAAATTTACATTCAACCTACCCATATATGTTGTTATGGAAGAATATAAAGTATTACCTTTATATTTGTATCTAACTCAGTCATTATAAAAAACAAAAATATTTCTCAAATCTATGTATAAATAGTATACAACCATGAAATTAAATAACCATAATGTTATACTTCACAATTTGTACTAAGTACATTAGGATATATATTTATTTAATAGCTTATGAAGCATGGAAAAATGTTTAATTGACAAACCACCTAGAAACATCATAACACTAACAATTCACTTTAAATTATATCAATACTACATGATAATCAATTTTATAAGTTGTTATTTTAAATAAGTTTATATATTTTAATTGAAATATTATATCATATCAATATTGGTAATTTAATTTTAAGCACTCTAAGATACATAAGACAACACTAACACGTATAAGTCTGTGATATAACAAATTCAACAAGTTCAATGCTAGGGTACAATCTGAGTTTTAATTAATATGTGGAGAACATATTACTAGGACTTAAACTCTTTTTAATAAAAAAATAATTTTTGAATAAAAGATGGAAAACACTAGAGTTTCTACCTAACATGTGTAAAAAAATTACATAACTCGATTGAAAGTCAATAGCTAAAGTATGATTTATGGTCACAGAAAAGGATGCAACTGAAGTTTATATATGTTAATATTATGTTTCAACTAAATATATACCACGCTAGAAAAAAGATAAATACTAGAAATTCTAACTAGAGGTCTCCAATGGAGCCTGCATGTTAATCCTTACGAGACATGTTAATTCCCACGAGACACGATAGGAATAAAAGATAGATCCTAGAAATTCTCATAAAAATCCAAAACATTTGACTATCAATTCAGTATAACCTAATTACCATTTATAATAATAGCTATTGGATCTATTCTATAAAATTACCCACCTCTGCTGTTGCGTAAAACAACATAAGGCAACACATGACTATATATTCAAACTACCCACATATGCTACTAAGAAACATGATCTAAAGCATATCTAAATTTGCATCTAATTACCCATTTACTCTTATTATGATAGATAATTTATGTAACCCAATCTTTATCTTATTATTTGAAAAATAAATATCATCTAAAATCTACATTCAAAATTACCAACATCTTTTTATTAAAAATGCTAAAATAATATAGAGCATGCATATATATTTATACATTACCTATTTCTATTAATATTACTATATTAAAATTTGATCAAAGTAAGCAAGCATGTTATGCAAGCATGCATGAGCGCATATCTGATGATACTAATAAATTGTTTAAAACCATATTAGTAATCATGACATATAATTTATATAGGTTTTTGCTTTAGATATATTGATGTATTTTAACTAAATATTTGACATGTCTATATTGATAGTAGAAAATTCAATCATCGTGAGAAGTATAAGAGATCACAAAAGGCTATATTTTCCCAACCCTTCAAGATTACTTAAGAACAAAAAGTCGATCATTATATAGCTTAAGCGTTCAAATTCTCTTGAGATTAGCACTATTACCCCATCCGAGATCACTCTTCAAGCTCTATCACTTATCTTAAATGATATGGCGCCGGTTTCGAATGATTACTTTTGCTATTGTAGTATCTAAGAACGCACTCTAAGACCAAAAATCCTTATTGTTAAAAAGTGCAAAAGGTGGAGTTAATAAAAAATACAAGTCACAAGAGTTTCAACTTGACGACAAAAAAATCTATAGCAGTCAACAAGAATAAAATTTAAAAAATTAAATTGAGTTTGATAACCTCATAAGATATGTGGCAACAACGAGGAACGCCATAGTTAATGGCAAGATTTCAAACTAATTACATTTTTAAAATATAAAAAGATGCCATGCAATGTAAAAATACGAATATGGTTGAAAATCATATAAATAAGTCCTTTGCAAAAGAAAAAAAACTATTTTGATATAGACTATATGAAATATCTATTATGTCTATTTTGTAGAAATAAACAAAGATAATAACATTTAATTTAATATAACAATTCTTTATTACTTAGATGTATTAAACAATATATGTCTCAAAAATTCTTACCCGTGCGAGAGCACGGGTTGATGGATTGGTGCATATAATTGTACTCCGGCCCTATCCAAGTAATTATAGCCACACAAGATAAATAAAACAAGAAAAACAGGGAATTCATTCTTGGAAATAGACAAGGACCTCACCTAGACTGATGGCGTTCTGGGCACGCACAACGACCTGGGCTCCGGTCTGTGGCGTGCATGTAAGTCTCGGCACAGATTGCTGCTTGCTGAACAGGATATGTGTGAATGGGTGGTTCAGAGAATGTTTCAGAGGTGAGAGGACTAAAACTAAGCAAGTCTGGGCAGGTTAGCCTGGAAATGTTGGAGACGTGGATCTCAAATGGACGCAGGAGATGTAAGCAAAGTTACGTGGTGACTTTATGAAGCGAAGTCACCCAATCTGCGGGACAAAGACTCCAGATTCTAGGAACGCTGCCCTGCGGTTCAACCATATGATCAAAATCGGACGCCCAAGAAAAAGAGGGATGTGGTCATATGATACGGGAGAGCTTAGTACAAGATTCATCTTGTAAAAGATTCTGAGCAGTACTCCTACAAGGCAATGAGCAGACAAGCGCAGGACATCCAACACCTTGATACTACATGGCTAGATGGACTCTCTTTTTTTCAGCTCTCTCTTTTATCCTTCTTCCTCTCTTTCCCTTTGTACGTACCGATTAGCACCATATATTGAACATTTCTCCAATTCTCCACGCTAAAGGATACAGTGATTTGGACACACATATTTTTTCCACACCGTCCTCAATGCACTAATAAGCTTATTATTCATTCATTATGCATTGGCGGGCACAGAGTTTTATACTTCGGAAGCAACATCGTAATCTTGGCTAATTTCATTTGTGCATCATTATTAGTTTTTTTAGTGGAATTTGTGAATCATTAGTGGCCCCTCCCAATTTACTTACGGGCCTTAAGTGGCCGGCCCCGGTCCACTCCACCGGTTTCATCATGCATGCACCCTCCACTCCAGCTCCAGGCTCCATGACAGCAGGCGTATTCTTGTACTATGTAGGCTAGCCTCTGGCCTGTTGCCCAATGTACCATTCTTTTGTTTAAAGAAGCCTGTATGGTAATCGCAAAAAGAAGCCTGTATGTGTATGTAGCCTTACAAGTTATGACCAATATAATATAATGCACCTTACACATGTGTGCAATAATGTAACTCAAATTTGGACATGATTAACGTACAATGTTGCTTTTAAATATTTATTAGAGCACTAATGATTTCTGCCTCATCGAGTCATCGTCACCATCTACTTCATGTGCAAGGATGTCGTGATTGCTTGTTTCGGTTGATGTATCTCTATCGCCGTGATGCTTCCAAAGTCGTATAGTTCTTCAAATCTCACCTGATTGTGAGGTCTTACAATATTTTCGGGTTCCGACGGCATGTTCGCTTGGTCGTAAACGATCGTAAATTTCTAGTCGGAACCGTGTTTTTTCTCACACCAAATCAGCCAACAGTAAATAATCAACGATCGTTTATGGCCTCCCGAACAGGCTGCAAATAGCACATGGATAATATGCTGCCTTCTCGGCGGCCAATTTATTCACTTCTTCTAGAAAAGAGATATCAGGCCTTTCTTTCCGCGTACATGAATGTCCTTTCCATCTATAGCCTCAACTAAAAACTGAAAAATGAATGAAAGCATACTTCCCATTTAAAGTGAGATCATAGAATTGATAATTAAGTTATTTTCTTATATATTTTAAGTTTCCATGAAATTAATGCGCAAACGACAATTACCCTCGTCAACGAATAACGCCAACTAAGGAATATTGAATACACTGGAGATAAATTAAACTTTTTAACCATTGAATTAAAAAACTAACACGAGAGATTTTAAACAAAATCACGTCAAGTACCCTGGTTGCAGCCGCTCCCTTGATTCTAATGCTTTGATTGACACGCAGAGGAAAGTGTTTGATGCAAGCGGCGTGGGGCCTTGATTCAAAGAGTAAGTAAAATGTACCAGCAACTGCCACACCTACTTGATTCAAAGACTTCTAATACA